GGGGAAACAATATCTGATCAGGGTAAGGAGCCAGGGAAGTAGATGGGGGGTGGATTGAGGGTGAAGCTAGGAAATTGACAGAGCAGTTCTCTAGTTCTGGGACACAGCAGTGACGGGACAGGACTATCCCAGCAAATTATTTTTTGTGAAATACGTGAAAAAAGAGTGAAAATTAAAAAAAAACACTTTTTTTAGTTTCTATTAAAAAATGTATCAAATAAGTACATTTTCTTCATAAATTTAGGCCAAAATGTTTACTGCTACATTACTTTGGTAAAAAATAACCCAACTCAGGGTATATTATTTAGTCTGTGTGAACATTATAGAGTCTACAAGCTATAGTACCAATCATTGAAAATTGATCACACTTGATGTACTGACGGCCTATCTAATTTCTTGAGGCCCTAACATGCCAGGAAAATACAAATATCCCCCAATTGACCCCTTTTTGGAAAGTAGAAAGTCCAAGCTATTTAGTAAGAGGCATGGTGAATTTTTTGAGGTTGTAATTTTTTCCAACAATTCTTGGAAAAATGAAGAAATGATTTTACTGATTTACTGAGAAATCTGGGGTCAAGCCATTCCAGTCTCTGATCAGCTCTTTGGTCAGCAGGTGGAGGTGCTGGCTGAATGCTCAGCTCTCCTGGTGGGACAGGACAACCCAAAAAAGATAGGGGAGGGAAGTCCCCTTCCGCTGCTTGTTAAAGCAATCCAGCGGCTAATTAGCTGCTAGGGTTGCTTTAACAGGAAAGCCAACTGCTGGCTAAATAAAACAATACTGAGATGATCCCTGCAAGGGAACCACTCAAAGTCCAGTGTAGATCTTTATTTTGACCACAAGATGGAAATGTTCAACAACTCGTTTCATCCCAAGTTCCAATACAGGGGTGTAGGACTGCTGGAACTTGTATTATGGAAGCAGACCTTTTCTGACAGTTTAGCTGAGATCCCAACTACATAACCCAGGAGCCTTTGCCAGGGGGCTGGAGGACATAAAAGAAAAAGCCTGGGAACAGGAAGGGGGAGAGAAGAGAGACTTGATATGTGGAGGACAGGTGTATGGAGCTATGTGGGTCCAGATCGGACTGGGGTGGGCCAGGAAGTCATGAGAGCCATCGGAAAGCTAGGAGACTTGAGGAGGCAGACTGGAGAAAACCTCCTTGCTGATTGATCGGGGAGGTCATCAATATAGCCACCACTTCTTTAAAGAGCAAAGCCCCCCTAGGCGAATACTTGTCAATACACATTCCCTGAAGTAAGGATTGGGTGGGAGGGTTCCTAATCCATCTAACACTACCCTTGTTTGCAAGTGTGCTTTACTGTTCAAGTCACTCCACGTTAAAGACACTGTACTGTACAGGTCCCCTGCAATTGACAAAGACTCCATAGCCCATCTAGTGTTACAGTACGCTATGCTTGTGCAATCTTCACATGTGCCAGAGCTTATTCATGCACTCTACCACTCTTAACTGCATCTACCAATACTGCCTGCAGGTTTTCTGACTAAGTTAACCCCACTAGTCCCTGCTAGGCAGAATTTGTGTCTACTTTAAACCAGGTTTAAGCTACCTAAGGAAGGAACTTGCTTATCAAGTTCAACTTCTGTATTTAAAGGGACACCCATGTTACAATCCCTCCTATCTTGTTTGTTAAAGTGACTGGCGCCAGCAATTAAGCCATCAATGTGACTATTGCATACATATCAACATTCTTAAAGTGACCTTTTCCTACCAATTCTGCATATTAGGGAGAACTCTGCAAGTTACTTTGCCACCAAAAGGGATTAATCGCTTTCCTCAGCATCTTATCAGGACTACATCTTTCACTGTGCACCAACGAAGGGCCCCAACAAAGTGTCAAGGTCCTACCTTTTCCCAGAGGTTATGCTGCTCCATGTGCTGGCATCCATCTTGGGTTTCTGCAAAGCATGGTGGGAGCCTTTTATGCTTTCAGGCCTCTGCAGTCCATCCCCCAGAGGGGTGTGGTTGAGCACATTTAAGCCTGTTGTTTGCACTTGCTCTTTGCATTCGTGTCCTGTTTGATAGTGTTGTTGCAAGCTCTGGTTCTACTCTCGTGGCTCTCCTGGAATCTGACTCGGCTTTGTCTAAGACTATTCTCAGCCTTATCCCTTTATCTGACCTCCCGTTGCTGAACCCGGCTTGTGACCCGCGTATTCTTGTCTACCGTTCTGTACTGTCTGTCCCGCTGTTATCGACCCGGCCTGTCCGACTATGCTATCGTTCTTATCTGGTTCCTAGCAGCTATAAACCATTGGCGGTGGCCATTACTGCAGCTGGGGTTTCTCGGGGGCCGTGACCTGGTCCCTGGCTGCGTCAAGTTCTTCCCCACCATCAGGGGCCCTGGTGAAGGGCAGTCTGGGGCTTAGACTCCGTTCCCTGAGGGACTCCGGTCTGTGGGTGGTGGTTGTCGTCAGTCGGTGTGTGACCCTGCCATTAGGCCTGCCTGTCCATTCCACAGCTCCTGCCCTGACACGAAGCTGGCAGAAGAACCCAACACATAGTTTTAGTTGCTGGTGATAGCTTTGACAGTCTTCCTGAAGCCTAAAGCCTAAGTCCTGAAGCCTCTTTTGATTGAGGGCCTGCAAGTGAGTTAGCCTTGTATTTGTTATTCCTGTTTGCTCATGTGGGTAAAATCTCACAGTCCTAGACCTATTGTTTACATCTTCAGTCTTGCAGGATGGGTGGGCATGTCTTAAATTGGTACTGTATTGTGCTTTATTATTCCTTTGTTACACTACCTTGTTTTTCAATAGTTTAGTTGATTGTATTAATTGCCTACCATACTACTCTTTGACCTTAATACAACTTAATCATTTATTTTACAAGTGTGTGCATATTCTTTCTTTGTGCGACAGCCAAGAGGCTACCTTGCCAAGATATCTTAGTGCTTTCAGCAGGGTTGTGCTCGGCCCAAGACTCAGTGACAAACAGAGAACTTAAATCTTTTAGCGGCTCCTGCAGGGGTAGTGCTACAATAATAGAATCCAAAATAAACTGTTACCCCAGTATGTACATTAATATTTATTTTAGGAAGACAAAAATAAATTTTACCCTCACATTGTTATCCTTTTTAAAAATGATGTGCAAAGTAAAGTAACATAGCAAATCAGATTTTATTAAAGTAGTATTAAACCCTCAGTAGTTTGTAGCCTACCACATTGAGCACAGTAAAATAAACATTCCCAGTACACCATTTGTTAAAATTCTTAACCCAGCACTTGCAGTTTACAACGTTTCAATGTTGCTGGCTCCTGCTCTGCCAGTGCTGCTTCCCTGAACTTCCCTTCTTCACACAAAAGCAGTTAACAGTGGACAATGCAGTCTCGAGTCAGCTTGGAATATGTAGACTGGAGCAGGGGAGTGCCTAGTCATCCTAAACTATGGGGCTGTGTGTTTCTATTGATGCACTCAGTGCTGGGAGACACAACTCTACTTCCTGTATGCAAGAATGACTCTATATAATGCTGCAAAAGAATGAAGCCACATTGAAACAGGAAACTGGGGGCAACAGTAATGGAACCAGCTTAAACTGGAACATAGACAAGGATATGGAAGTTGGATATTCAGTAAGTGTTTAAATCAGCAGCTGAAAATGCACAAAAACTGAAGGTTTCTATCACTTTAAAATGGTACTTCTTGTATAGTTAAGGCACACCAACAGCCGCATAAGTATATACAATGTGCTGTTTGTACCTTTTTTTCCCTTTTCTCTCCTTAGATCATGTGATCACTGCCCTTATTTTCAGTGTAGCACAGCATTGAAGGGGCAGAGCTTAGACATAGCACATCTCATGTCCTGTGACATTGCTTTAGATGTACATTCTTTCCCCTTCCATACTATTCGGAGTGGACTGTCAGTCAAGCATGTAATCCGCCTAGGGGATGGAGCACGTCTTACTGACATGTAGCGCTCACCCCTGAAAGGGCCACTGATTGTGTCCCAAGTGCTCTTCCCACTAGTGAAGTGGCAGCCAGGAAAATGGCAACATTCATTCCTCTGGCTCAGTAAACAGTCTAGCAGTTGCCTTTTTAAAGTTTATTGCATATTAACTTGGATGGGGCTAAGGGAAGCTGTGAGGAACTCCAGAACATAGAACAAGAATGTGAGGACTCTCTTCTGTTTGCAGCTACATCTCAGGACAGTCGGTTCAGCAGAAGGACATCATCACCAATGTCCCAGGCCAGGCAAGCTTTAATATTAGTGATCTGGGGTTAACAGCAGCAACAGTCACTAGGATCCTTCTCTTAGGTCTGTACTCAGTTTCTTCGGGACTTTGATGTCTCCTTCCCAGTCTCCTCAGTGACACCTCCAGATCAGATCCTCCATGAAACCTCTCTTTTTGCTCTTAAAGAATTTACAGCAGAATAGGCCCCCAGCAATGCACAGGGACCTTGATAACACTAGAATCTTCAGCTGGACTGTCAGGAAGGGGCAGTATTTTTTTTTGTAAGTACAGTGGAATGTTTTTTTTTTTTATTAGCAGCAATCTTGCAGTGGTTTCACATTCATTTGAAGAAATGTGCGATGCTGTAATTTGTTACACTCCAGATTCCCCTTCTGGGACTTGAACTCTGAATACAGTTACACAGTCAGTTCGCAGCTACATAGTTGCATAGTTAGTCTGGCTGAAAAAAGACAAAAATCCATCCAGTTCAACTTCAACCATATAAAAAAGTAATAATCCTATACCCACAGATGATCCAGAGGAAGGCAAAAAAATCAGCAAAGCATGATCCAATTTGCTTCTGCAAGGGAAAAAAATTCCTTCCTGATCCCTCGAGATGCAATCAGATATTCTCTGGATCAGCCTTACCTATAAATGTTAGTATCAAGTAAGTTAGAGATCAATGAATTAAGAGACACTGTTTAGTGAGATGAAGCAGCATGGCTCACTCTTTCCAAACACTGTTCACAGGTTTTATCATATTTTATGTTACACACCAGAGTCAGTTTGTGACAAAATGGATCATAGGACTGGCTGGTTGATTGAAGACAAGCTTTTTGCTGAGAGTGGTCCAGGGTTGTGGCATTTGTGTTTTATATGGCGCACAGTTCTTGCTCAATTGCTTATTTACTTTTGTAAGGATGGATTGGATGTCCTCACCTCTAGGAGACAAGTGAAAACAGGTGAAAAATTGTATGTATGTCATAATAGCCAATAATTGCTATTTCATATCTTTTTGTGATAATCAGCATTGTAATGTCATTATTTAAATCTGTCACAATCGGTGGAAAACCAATGTAGGGGCATTCACAGCAGACAAGGGACTGACAGTTTTGTAATCACAGACATTGTATAATTTTAAGTTGTAAAATACAATATGATGACCTTAAAGCAGAACTATACTGTATCCGAGCACCACAAACCAAAAGTGCTATTTCATTCATTTTAATATTCAAATCAAACCCACCCATCCACTCATTTCTCTATGCTTTATTTTGCTGACAAATCAATTAGAAAAACACCCCCTTAACATATCTGGCAGTGGCCATCTTGAGTAATGGCAGATGATTTGTGTAGCAATTACTTCAGAAATCCATCTGTCCTTAGTTCAGACATACAGGTAGGAAGGTATGCTTAGCTGAGAAAGTACCTCCTCCCCTCCTGAAAAATTGCTTACAACATGTAAATATGATATACTTTCCTATCTATTTACTAATGCTAGTAGCATAAGGATTCAAACTAGTCAATGTTGAATGAGAGAGTGAAGTTCAACATTCAGTTTATAAGCATTAAAAAGCTCTGGACAGCCCTAGAATACCCTTTAGCTTCAGACAGGGACTACAAAATGTTGGATGCACATTTAGCCCACATTCACACTGATACGGTATGGAATTTGCAGTGGTTTCTGTGCGGAATTCGCACCGCATCACAATTGCACCCCGTTCATGCGAACCGCTGAGGGTGTGTATGTTAAGTTAACAACATCCTGAAATCGGTTTGCAAAATGTGGTGCAATGTGCAGAATCGGATCGCATGGGTGTGAACACCCATGCAATCTGATTCTAGTGGTGACATAAAAAAGGGTCCTGCACCTTTTTTGGTGCAGATGCAGTGCGATTTGAGTCATACAAAATGTATGGCTTAAATCGCACCGCACAGAATTCGCATGTGATTTGCACAGGAATGTGGTGCGGTTCCTGTACGAATCACATGCGATGTGCCGCATCGCACAAGTGTGAACCCAGGCTAAAACAAACTTTTAGCTTTGTTAAAGAGTTGAAGGATGCTTTAGAGCAGGCCTTGAAATTTACACTCGCCTGCTCGCCAATGGCGAGTGGAAATTATGGTGGGGGCGAGTGTGTCTCCCAGGGCCGTCTTGCTGAGTAGGCTCGGAGCTCAGGCCGGATCTGTCAGTGGCACTGGGAGCCGTCAGACTGCTTAATAGTTGAGCGCAGTGAAAGCAAAGGAAGGAGTGTGTGCTGTGCTCTCTGCCTCCCCTAAAGTGCAGTACCCGGATCTGTGAGTGAACAACGAAGTACTGCAACTTTTTATAGGGTTTTGTGTGTGTGTGTGTGTGTCTACCTAATTTCAGCTCACTCTGGTCACATGATCCTCTATGTCAGCCAGTGGTGGCTTCAGGGGAGAGGAGAGAGCACTTAACTGCGTGTGTGTGTGTACATGTGTGTGTGTGTGTGTGTATGCATGCACATGTGTGTATCTGTACATGTGTCTGTGTGTATGTACATGTATATGTGTGTGTACATGTGTCTGTGTGTACATTTGTCTGTGTATGTATGTACATGTGTCTGTGCATGTGTATTTCTGTGTATGTACATGTATCTGTGTATATGCGTGTCTGTACGTGCCTGTCTGTGTATACATGTGTGTCTGTATGTGTGTGTGTGTGTACGTGTCTCTGTGCATGTGTGTACATGTTTTCTGTGTGTGTATATGTACATTTCTGTGTGTGTATATGTGTATACATGTCTGTGTGTGTGTACAGCTGTCTCTGTGTGTGTTTGTTGGTAGCAAGTAACTCTTAAGACCTGGTTAGTAGCTCGGAACTTGAAATTTTAAGCCCTGCTTTAGAGTGCAGCTTTACTCACATGTTAAAATTGACCAGAAGGGGGCGTTAACTCACATGTTAACATACTGTAAAACTGTGTTACCAGAATTGTTGTGGTGGCTACGTATTATGCAATAAAAGCACTTGGACTGCCATGTTTATTAAGCAGCCCTTCCATACATATGAATGCCTGAGACTATCTTTTCTATATAGCATAGGTTACCCTGACTTGCTCAAGCAGTATTTGGTTTCTTGGCTTAGTTGACTAAGTGCAACTGTGCCCAGACTATGGGCTTTAATGTTTTATATTTTGTTAACAAGCAGTAAAAGAGATCATAACATAGACTCCAAACAGTCCGTTTTAACAGCCTACAAGCACTTGAGATTCACACTGGAACGCTGCAGGGCTGACACCACTGCTTCCATATAAAATATGAGAAGAGGAGCTGTGTTCTGAATACCTCTGTTGTGCACTTTAAAGATGCATTTCTCCACAATGTCTATAGCTACGGAGGTGGATTATGGATTTTTTAAAGTGATTTTACTGCTTGTTCAGAATATGTAAATACGGTACTTTAATGTGCATAGTCTAGATACAAATTCACATTAGGTTCCACAATCACTCTTTTTGTAGCAAGATATGACTGTGGTTACTGCATACATGGGTACAAGTTACACCTTATAGCTGAATTCTAGATGTGCATATTTTTGGATAGTTTCATTGGTCCAGCTTGGACCAATGTAAGTATGCATATGTCATACCTGGCCTATCCCCATGGAAGCTGAAAATCATGGGAACCATGGGGATTGGACAGATATGACACATTCATACATACATTGGTTCAAGCTGGACCAATGTAACTATGCACAAATAGGCATACCTAGAAATCAGTTTTAAAGCTAAAGTTTATGTATGGCTATTTTTACTTAGTTACATTGGTCCAGCTGGACAAATATAAGAATCTATATGCCATTCCTTTGGGGGCTCTGTGGTAGCTGGAAATCACTGTAGTAGGCATGACTACTATAGTGACCTTCACTAGTTTCAGAGTCCTGTGCTGAGCTGCTGCACTGATGCATTTTGAACACATGAGGTCACTTGCTCATTGCAGGCACCATTCAGGCTACTATACAGACATATAGTATATCTTGCATTTCCTCAATTAATCCAAAGCATTCTCTAATTGGACGAGGTGGATATTGTGGCACCATAGCCCTGCCTCTCCACCTTGTGCAACTAGGCACAAGACCCAGAAGTTAGTGGAGATCATTGTGGTAGCAGTGCCTACTACAGTGACTTCCAACTCCTACAGGGATCAGACAAGTATAGCACATACTGTACATACAGTATCTCCCAGAAGTGAGTACACCCCTCACATTTTGGTAAATATTTTATTATATCTTTTCATTTGACAACACTGAAGAAGAAATGACACTTTGCTACAATGTGAAGTAGTGAGTGTACAGCTTGCATAACAGTGTAAATTTGCTGTCCCCTCAAAATAACTCAACACACAGCCATTAATGTCTAAACCGCTGGCAACAAAAGTGAGTACACCCCTAAGTGAAATTGTCCAAATTGGGCCCAAAGTGTCAATATTTGGTGTGGCCACCATTATTTTCCAGCACTGCCTTAACCCTCTTGGGCATGGAGCTCACCAGAGCTTTATAGGTTGCCACTGGATTCCTCTTCCACTCCTCCATGATGACATAACAGAGCTGGTGGATGTTAGAGACCTTACGCTTCTCCGCCTTCCATTTGAGGATGCCCCACAGATGCTCAATAGGGTTTAGGTCTGGAGACATGCTTGGCCAGTCCATCACCTTTACCCTCAGCTTCTTAAGCAAGGCAGTGGTCATGTTGGTGGTGTGTTTGGGGTCGTTATCATGTTGGAATAGTGCCCTGCGGCCCAGTCTCCAAAGGGAGGGGATCTTGCTCTGCTTTAGTATGTCACATTACATTTTGGCATTCATGGTTCCCTAAATGAACTGTAGCTCCCCAGTGCTCATGCAGCCCCAGACTATGACATTCCCACCACCATTCTTGACTGTAGGCAAGACACACTTCTCTTTGTACTCCTCACCTGGTTGCAGCCACACATGCTTGACACCATCTGAATCAAATACGTTTATCTTGGTCTCATCAGACCACAGGACATGGTTCCAGTAATCCATGTCTGCTTGTCTTTAGCAAACTGTTTGCGGGCTTTCTTGTGCATCGTCTTTAGAAGAGGCTTCCTTCTGGGACGACAGCCATGTAAACCAATTTGATGCAGTGTGCAGCGTATTGTCTGAGCACTGACAGGCTGACCCCCCCCCCCCCCCCCCCCAACCCTTCATTCTCTGCAGCAATTCTGGCAGCACTCATACGTTTTCTCAAAGACAACCTCTGGATATGACGCTGAGCACGTGCACTCAATTCCTTGGTCGACCATGGCAAGGCCTGTTCTGAGTGGAACCTGTCCTGTTAAACCGCTGTATGATCTTGGCCACCATGCTGCAGCTCAGTTTCAGGGTCTTGGCAATCTTCTTATACCCTAATCTTTATGTAGAGCAACAATTCTTTTTTTCAGATCCTTAGAGAGTTCTTTGCCATGAGGTGCCATGTTGAACTTCCAGTGACCAGTGAGAGCAATAACACCAAATTTAACACACCTTCTCCCCATTCACATCTGAGGCCTTGTAACACTAACAAGTCACGTGACACCGGGGAAGGAAAATGGCTTATTGGGCCCAATTTGGACATTTTCACTTAGGGGTGTACTCACTGTTGTTGCCAGCGGTTTAGACATTAATGGCTGTGTGTTGAGTTATTTTGAGGGGACAGCAAATTTACACTGTTATACAAGCTGTACACTCACTACTTTACATTGTAGAAAGTGTCATTTCTTCAGTGTTGTCACATGAAAAGATATAATAAAATATTTACAAAAAATGTGCGGGGTGTACTCACTTCTGGGAGATACTGTACCTACATTGGTCCAAGCTAGAGAACAATTGCCATACCTTAACTTCAGCTTTAATTTAAACTTCCAATATATGGGCATCTGTGGCACCATGACACCATAATTTAAACTGAAATAATATGGGTATCTGTGGCACCATGGTGAGATCTGATTTTTAGTACCTGATTTTATACATTTATTGTAAGATTAACAACACATAAAATAGGGTAAGTTTGTAAGATTTTATTTAAATGCATTTGCAAGCATTTTAAGTATCTGAATTGGACTTGCAGTCCCTCTATAGCAGAACTCAGACTGGAGGATGGAGAGGGAGCACAAGGAGCAAGTCAGTTCTGCTGCTTTGCTCATATGCCAGCAAGGAGCATGTGGATAGGAAAAGAGAGCAAAGTGAGAGAGAGATGAGTTCATCAGTATCCTACATCTATTTATACAGTCCAGTCACAGGCTGAGTGAGAAACAAGATCTGTAAGTATGACTTAACTGCAGCAGATAAAAATCAGGTCTTCTCAGACAGGGCTGTGTTGTGTAAAAACGTTTTGTAAATTTTGAAATATAAATCCTTTGGAAGGCAAAACAGCTCCCATATATGTATTTCATATGTATATTTGGCCCTTTGCATGGAGTTCTACTTAACAAAACAAATACTGTGTAAATATGTAAGCGGCCACTGATGAATATACTAGTTGCCTGTTTATTGGGTTCATCCAAAGAATGCATATCAAGAATTCTGACTTCACTATCATTTCATTGGCTGCATGCTTGCAACTGGTTAGTGTCTTGGAACGTATTGAGGCTGGAAGATCGCAGAACAACCCAGGCACCTGTCATTTTTACAAGGACATTAGAATATGCAGCATCCATGTTTCCTTAATATAAACTTCCTTTGAAAAGAGCAAATAACACCAAGAAATGAAAATCATGCATGCATGGATCCTCCTTGGGTCCCCCCGCCGGTGCTCCTGGCCCCACACTTCTGTTGGATGCCCTCATGGGGGCACCCAAGCAGGCTAGCTCCCAAGCCACTGCTCTGAGTGTCCATACACACACAGAACGGCAGTTTGGCCTTGCCCCCTCCTGATTAGCTCCTGATAGCAGCAGGAGCCAATGGCCAATGAGGAGTGAAAGTCCCAGGAGAACCAAGGCTCTTGTGGACATCATTGGATCGGGATGAAGCTCAGGCAAGTATTAGGGGGGCTGGCGGGGGCTGCTATACACAGGTGTTTTACCTTCATGTATAGAATGCATGAAGATAAAAAAACTTGAGCCTTCAGAACCACTTTAATGTTAATGTCTATTCTTCCGTTGAACCTACTTTTCCAAATATGGTGCATTTTAAACTAATTACTTTAGCAGTCACTGTTCATCCCACTTTAACAGTTAACTTTACTCCCACATAGAGAGAGTGTTAATGGCAACAAATTGGTGGAGCCATGTAAACTACAGTGACCTGCAAGGATTTACTCAGAATTTTCCTGACCCGTATACATATGAAATCCTTGCCTGATCAAATTAGATTGGGCAAATGTTATCTAATGGCTATAAGTAAGAAAAAAAATCACAGTATATCATATTACCTCTGATAATTTGCACTGAGCTCTTTGCAGAGAGATTGAATGTACCAGGAGCCTTCATTAGGGTCTCGGAAGGCTAAGCAGTCCAATACGGTGGCCATCCCAAGCAGGAAATCTGGTTCACCTGGAATCAGGTCAACGTTTGTCACATCAGTGTCATGTGAGGCATTACAGGCATCAGATTCCACAGGTACACATTCCTGGGTTTGCTGTCCTTGACATGCCTGGATAAAGAAGAGTTTGGGCTTCCCATCCAATGAACAGCATGAGCTTCTACTGAAACAAAAGGTAAGATCCCTGAGGGCTACACGTTGCCCATCTGTGCCATAAACTAATCCTTTGTTTCCATGGGACATAATGCAGCAGATAAAACAATCATTCTTTTCATAGTCCTTCATGCTGTAAGATTGAACAGTCTCAAAAATCTCTTTTCCATCAAGGTCATTCTTCACCTCAACACGGAAGCCAAGATTGGAAAACACTTCACTGAGTAACTCTGCCAGAGAGAATGAGATTTCTTATGGTATACAATTAAAGAAAAACAGAAAATGTATCATGAACATGCATTTAACTAAAGTAATCAAATGTGCATTCATCAAAAGCTAAACAGTATAAACCTTTTAAAGCATACTTAAAGCTTAAACGTTTAAAGTTTTGGATAGCAAAAGAAACAGTCAGAACCTCTATTAGGTTTTACTTTCTGTGTCCAATTGGGTAGATTTTTCTTTATTCCTGTTTGGATGACAAGACAGAGAGTAAGAGGAAACGTCTACAATGTAAGAGGAAACCACCTCTTAGACTGTTGCCACTAAAAAGATGTCTCCTGTATTCCTCTTCCAGTGGCAATTGTAAAATAATAAATTTAAAAAAGTTTTTGCTTTAGATATACTGTACACTACATTTTTAAATAGCAACTCTGTGCAACAAGGGAAATACATTTGTGAACCTAACACTCAAGAAATATTTCAACAATGCTAAAGTCAAAAGGTCTCTGATTATAGCATTAAACAAAACTTATGATTAGAGTAATTTTAGAGTGGCCATTTCTCACCTGAATATACTAGTTGCACTGACCTGGAACAAGTGTGTAAGTAGGCTGCCCAGCTCCCGTGTCTGGACATGCAGCTTGGGCCCCAACTACAAACAGGGCTTCTAGAGCTACTCCTATAGTATTCAGTGGCCAAGCCCATAGACATCACATGCACCGAGGGTGGTTGGAGGTCTCGTATACCCCTGACCATAATCCACACTATGCCCCCTATGCCTGGAACATTTCCTACACAGGCCTGTGGTTTAACATGGTCCAAATTAGGGCTCCAGGAGTCCAACCAAATACCCACGACCCTTGTCACCTGGCATGTACTCCATGAGAGGTTAACTTTCACCGCCTTACAACCACCACCACGCCCCGCCCCCCACAATAAGTAAATGGTTTATTGTAGGTAATTAGGCAACTCGCTTGTATAAACTGACATATAAGGATAGAACTTGTCCTAAGAAATTTCATAAGATCTGGACCCCATGGGTAGACTCTGTGGCTACTATATTACTTGATGGTCTTTTGATAGATTGTGTGATATACTGCATGGACAATTTCTCATTGTATTGTACGCTGTTTGTATAAAAGTTATGTTTGCTTGTGTTTGTATTTTTCAATAAAACTATCTTTAAAAAAAAACATTCACTGTGAGGAGGGTCACTCCTTTCCACTAATTAAAGTGGAACTAAAGGGAAATGATAAAAACCTGTGAGCAGGAAGCTCTTTATTGCACAAGAGACATGCGATGTCTGTTCTGCAATAACACTTACCTTCCTGCTTGCAGTCTTCTATTAAATGCACACTCCCCTGCGCATCATGACATCATTCCACCAATGGCCAATCAAAAGGTTGAAAACCTGGCACCTGGAAATATCCAGGGAAAAGGTGACAGTGGCCAGCCAGGACCACATTGGCCACCTTGTTTGAGCAAGTAGGTAAGCATTTTAGTTCTGAAAAGTGGCTTTTCTTTGAACTTTACCTTAGACTAGAAACTAAGGATGCACCGAAACCATTATTTTACAGCAAGTACAAGTACATATAATTTTTTTTGGTACTCGCCAATACCAATTACCAATAACTGGGAGCAACTGTTTTGTTTACACTTCAGCTGTCAGCAGGGGAACCCCGCTGACAACTGAGTGAGTGATTGGTTATTAACCGATTCCCGTCCGCCCCTATAGCAGTAATACTGCTACAGAGTGGCACGGGTGCACAAAATCACATATATATATATATATATATATATATGATTTTGTATTTCCGGGTAGGGGGTGCGTGATCTACCCACACTGCTATTCTTGTCCGCACACAGTTAATCCTTTGATAGCCCCACATGTTAACTCCTTCCTGCCCAGTGTCATTAGTACAGTGTCAGTGCTTTTTATTAGCACTGATCACTGTATTGGTGCCACTGGGGATGTCAAGGACACCAAGTTAGTTCCCCCCAGTGTCAGAATGCCCGCTACAGTAACGCAGTCCCTCTATAAGTTGCTGATTGCCGCCATTACTAGTAAAGAAAAAAAAATCCCAGTATATATACTGCCATTTGTAAAACGCTATAACTTTCATGTAAACCAATTAATTTACACGTATTGGGATTTTTTTTTAAGCAAAGACGTAGGAGAAATCATTTCGGCCTAAATTTATGACGAAATTTTATTTTTTACATTTTTTTACTGGATATGATTATTAGCAAAAAGTCAAAAATATATTTTTTTTTCTCAAAATTGTCAGTCAGTCAAATATACCAAAAGAAAGCTCTGTTGGAAGAAAAAAGGACATAAATTTAATTTGGGTGCAACGTTGCATGACTGTGCAATTGTTAAAGTAATGCAGCGCCCTAATGCAAAAAATGGCCTGGTCAGGCAGGGGGATAAATCCTCTGGAGGGCAAGTGGTTAAGCACACGGCGGCCCCACTCGATAACCATTACGGCTTTCACACCTGTTCACTCCTTATGGACCAGAGCATTTTTTACATTTCTGCTATGCACCTTTTTAATCAGCAATAACTTTGTCATTATTTAAGATAACAACGTAATACACATATTGTTTTTTTAAAGACAAACAAGGCTTTCTTTTCATGATTATTTTATTGTAACAATTATATTTTTTTCAAAATCCGTAGACAATTAAATGTAACAAAATTACAAAAAAGCACTTTTTCTTTTTTTGAGCAGTGCTAATTTAAAAATAAATAAAGTAACTGCACATAAAAAGTGTACATTTTATTCTGTAATATGACCTGTTTTAAATGACACTAAAATTATGATTCTGGTACAAAGCATTAAAAAGTTATTTACATATGAAATACATTTTTTTTTTTCAATTGTGTGCTTTTTTCAATGTGAAACGTAAATATATATTGAAGGTGTAAAAATATTAATTAGTTTTAGCTCAACTTACTGCACTCATGTCCAAATAGTCCTCCCTCCCACTGGCATGGCTAGGCAGAATAGCAGTTGTGAAAATGTCCATCCTCCCCAAAATCTTATACCTCTTTAGAGTTCTTCCAATTTCAGTGCCCGCTCATTATCTGCACACCTTGCATCGCCGCATTTTCTCCTATGTCTGGGGTAAGATCCGCCCACGTGTCCCTCGCTCCACCCTCTTTCTTCCCAAGTCTAATGGCGGTCTTGGTCTTCCAGATGTCAGCAAATATTACCAGGCAGCCCATATAGCCCAACTGCCAAAATACCATGCTACCTATGAAACCCCGCAATGGGTTATCCTGGAATCGATTGAGTGTGATCCCTTATCCATAGCTAATCTACTCTGGTTAAGACCTATAGACCGCCGCCTGGTTACTAACCCCATCACCTTACATTTTTTACATCTTTGGGATAAGTTGAAATCTCGTTATCTTCTACAGTCACCGCATAATCCTCTCCTATATCCGAAACTCAGCCTTCCCTCTGGCTTGGCCCTCATCGCACTCTTTTAACCGCTGGTTTGCTGCGAATCTCACCCAAGCCCATCACTTCATGCTTAGGAATAAATTTCGGTCCTTTGCCTCACTATGTGAAACTCATGCACTTCCGCCTTCAGAAATATTCCATTACCTGCAATTGAAACACTTCTACGCCCCTTACGCAACGGTCGCTAATCCAACACCAGCCATGTCCTCCTTTGAACGAACTTGCTATAAAGACCCCCCACAGACGTGGCCTCATATCATACCTGTACTCTCTTCTCACAACCCCGGCTGTAGCTTCCCTACCTTCTTACACGCGGAAATGGGATCTGGACCTGGACCACCAGATTGACCCCTCGGATTGGGACCACATTTGGTATACCACCAAGGAGTCATCGCAGAATATTGTGGCTTTGGAGACCAACTACAAGGTCTTGACCCATTGGTACTTAGTACCAGCAAGAATAGCTAAATATACCCCTAACTCTCCTTCAGCATGCTTCAGAGGTTGCATAGACCCGGGCACTTTCTTCCATACATGGTGGGAGTGCCCAGTCGTCAGAATCTTCTGGATGGAAGTATTCAAAATACTCTCCTTATTAAGTGCGAAAAACCTCCAACCTAGCCCACTAACAGCATTACTTAACCTGCAACCGCCTGATGTTACGAAGCTACAATTTAAGCTTCTCTTACAGGTTACCACAGCTGCCAAACAGGTCATTGCCAAATCGTGGAAATCTACGTCGCGTAACATTACTGCGGTTCGAAACAAGGTAACCCAGGCGATGATCCACGCTAAAGTAGAAGCCACAGTCTTGAATACTATTCCTAAATTTAGGATGATTTGGGACCCATGGGTAGAACATTTTCTACCGTCTAACTTTGATGAATCTCTTCTCACCCCGTAACCAGCACTTCCAATTATATTGGTACCCTCCCCTTCTACTCTTAAAGCTCCCTTTTTTCTTTTACTTCTTTACTCGCGGAGTCGCACACCTCTCCCCTGTCTTCTCCCTCCCACACATTCCCCGCCTACTATTGCCCACCAGTTCTTACCTGTTACTGTTTGAGGTTTACTGTTAATACTATATTCCCAAGATAACTCACTGTATGAGTATTGTATATTGTATACTTTATTTGTTCTATCTATGTTACCCCTCCCTGTGAACTCAATAAAAAAATTTGAACAAGAAAATATTAATGAGCAATGCAAACAACAACAAAAAAGTTTTAATTATTATTAGTTTATAAAAATAGAAATCAACAAAAAAAAATCAGCAGGAAAATAATTAAATGAAGAAGGAGAATAAGGAGTTAATTAGGGCTGCTTAGAGTTAATTAAGGATTAATGAGGGGTTAAAGCAGAGGAACATTTAATTAAATTTTTTTTTTTTTTTTTACTTGACAAGTTGCTTTTAATTGACT